AACTATATCCTAATTTTGTCGTTAATTTTTTTTAAGATGATGTCAGTGTTAGAAATTAAACCAAATTTGTTAGTACTTGTTTCCTTTTTGAGTCTGTTCGTATTTCCATATTTTGATAGATATTGTGAGATATTGTTTCTGGTTATATTTTAGGAAAGTTTCCTAAGTCAATTAGATTTCCTAATTAGAATAGGTTTCCTAGAAAGAGGTTTCCTATTTCGAATCAAACTATGGTCTATAAATAGTATATTTCTCTTGTAATTGAGATATGCAATAGAAAGACGCGAATTGCGATTGTTTCACCTTCAAAAATTCCTTTCATCAAATCAATATTGTTGCCGCGCCTCTGACGCTCAACAAATTGGTATCAGAGCTTACGGTTCGTGATCATGGCCTCAACGAACAATCAGCTTCCTCTTCAATACCCTCGTCTTACCAAAGAAAATTATGGTAACTGGGCTGTTAGAATGAAAGCTCTACTTGGCGCCTACGGTGTGTGGGAATTTGTTAACACCGGCTATGATGAGCCGTAGGATGAAGCCACGTTGAACCGTAATCGAGGAATGCCTTGGAGAAGGCTCGAACGAAAGATCAATATGCCCTGTCGATCATCTATCAAGCGTTAGATGATTCCATGTTCGAAAAAGTTTCGAACGCCACTACCGCTAAAGAGGCATGGGAGATTCTTCAAAACACACATCAAGGAGTTCAGAAAGTTCAGAAGATTCACCTTCAAACCTTGAGAGGCGAATTCGAGGTAATTCGTATGAAAGAATCTGAATCGATTGCTGATTATTTCACGAGAATTTTGGCAATTGTTAATCAGATGAAAAGAAACGGAGAAGAAGTTTCCGATGTTCGTGTTGTTGAGAAAATACTTCGGTCCTTAGACAAGAAGTATGATTATATTGCGGTTGCAATCGAAGAATCCAAAGACTTGGATGCCATGACGGTCGATGAACTTATGGGTTCATTACAAGCCCATGAAGAAAGGTTTAGAAAGAAAAAGATTGAACCGGTGGAGGAAGTTCTCCAAACGCAGTTGACCATACGAGATGAAAAGGAGCAAAGAAGAGATCCCGTACAAAATCGCGGGACAAATCAAGATCGTGATCGAGGTCGTGGCCGAGGTCACTTTCGAGGAAGAGGTCGTGGACGAAGCAGCGGAGATCCTGCTCGAAGTGATGGAGGATACTAGTACCAAAGAGGTGTTCGTGGAAGAGGAAAGAACTCAACAAGCCAATGGTATGATAAATCTAAAATCCGATGTTATCATTGCAATAAACTTGGCCATTATGCTTCTAACTGCTGGAATAAAGAAAGTAGCAGACCAGACGAAAAGGCGAACTTGGTAAATAATGATGATCAAGTTCTCTTATTAGCATTCAAAGAAGATGAAGAAGGTCAAAGCGATACGTGGTATTTGGATACCGGCGCAAGTAATCACATGTGTGGGAGAAAGGAGATGTTTGCCGAGTTAGATGAGACAATTAAAGGGAATGTCTCATTCGGTGATAACTCTAAAATTCTTGTTGAAGGGAAAGGTACAATTTTGATTCGCTTAAAGAATGGTGCACGTCAGTTTATTACTAATGTTTATTATGTTCCAAAAATATCAAGCAATATCTTGAGTTTGGGACAACTTCTGGAGAAAGGTTATACTGTTCATATGAGAGATCTTAATCTTATGTTGAGAGATCGAAATAATAAATTGATTGCAAATGTGAAGATGTCGAAGAACAGGATGTTTATTCTTAATATAAAGACGTGCGTAGATGATCTTTCATGGTTGTGGCATTTGAGGTTTGGCCATCTCAATTTTGGCGGACTTAATTTGCTTTCTCGCAAGAAGATGGTTTATGGCTTACCACATATTGATCATCCCGATCAATTATGTGAAGGGTGTGTTATCGGCAAGCATTCCAGAACTAGCTTTCCGAAGGAGGCGACTTATCGAGCGAAGAAGCCGCTTGAGTTGATTCATTCTGATTTGTGTGGCCCGATCAATCCTCACTCATATGGTAATCATCGATATTTTGTTACTTTTATTGATGATTTTACTCAGAAAACTTGGGTGTATTTTTTGAAAGAAAAGACAGAAGTGTTTGATATTTTCAAACAATTCAAGAACCTGGCTGAAAAGGAAAGCGGCTATTTTATCAAGGCTTTGAGGATTGATCGTGGTGGAGAATTCACCTCAGCCATATTCAACAAATTCTGTGAAAATCATGGTATTCGGCGTTTCTTGACGGCCCCGTATTCTCCTCAACAAAACGGTGTGGCTGAACGGAAAAATAGAACCATTCTTGATATGGTTCGAAGCATGTTGAAGAGCAAAAATTTGTCCAAGGAACTTTGGGCGTAAGCTGTTTCGTGTGCCGTCTATCTTCAAAATAGATGTCCAACATATGGACTTGAAGGCGTAACTCCACAAGAGGCATGGACCAGGAGAACACCAAATGTTTCGCACTTGAGAATTTTTGGGAGCATTGCATATGCTCATGTCCCGGATAAAAAAAGATCGAAACTTGAAGACAAGAGCAAAAAGCTCATATTTATCGGGTATGACTCATCATCCAAAGCCTATCGATTATTTGACCCTAACACTTTGAAAGTGTATGTAAGTAGAGATGTCAAGTTCGATGAAGATGGAATGTGGGAAGAAAATCTAAAAGAAGAAGCGAATGTTCGTGATGATTCCGATCAAACGGAGTTGAAAGATCAACCTTCACCTTCTTCTCCAACATCTTATTCAAGTTCATCAACACCATCCTCTTCAAATAGTGTCGATGAACCGCTAGTGCCAAGATCAAGAAGATTGTCTGAAATTTACGAAGCTACCGAAGAGCTTCATCTTATATGTCTTCTTGCAGATTATGAACCACTTGCTTATGATGATGCGGCCAAAGAAGAAAAGTGGAGGAAAGCCATGAACGAAGAAATTGAAGCCATCGAGAAAAATCAAACATGAGAGCTTGCTAATCTTCCGAAGGACAAGAAATCAATTGGTGTTAAGTGGGTGTACAAGGCCAAGAAGAATGAGAAAGGTGAAGTGACAAGGTACAAAACTAGATTAGTTGTGAAGGGGTACAAGCAAAAAGCCGGAATCGACTATGATGAAGTTTTTGCCCCTGTCATCCGCGTGGAAACGATTAGATTGATTATTTCCATTGCTGCTCAAAATAATTGGCGGATTTATCAAATGGATGTCAAATCAGCATTCTTGAATGGCATCATTGAAGAAGAAATTTATGTCGAACAACCCGAGGGGTTTGTTGTGAAAGGTTATGAAGGCAAAGTGCTAAGGTTGAAGAAAGCTCTATATGGGCTTAAACAAGCACCGAGAGCATGGAATTCCAGAATTGATGCATATTTCAAGGCGAATGGATTCTCTCAATGTCCATACGAGCATGCACTCTATTTGAAGCAAGAAAAAGGTGATATTCTACTCGCCTGTTTATATGTTGATGATCTTGTTTTTACAGAAAATAATTCGGCGATGATTGATGCTTTTAAGGCATCGATGGTGAAAGAATTTGAGATGACCGATAATGGTCTCATGAATTATTTTCTTGGTATCGAAGTGAAGCAAAGTGCCGACGGGATTTTTATTTCCCAAAAAGGATATGCAGAAAATATCCTTGAAAAATTCAACATGAAGAACTGTATGCCGGTCAATACACCAATGGAGTGTGGAACCAAGCTTTCGAAGTTTGATGATGGTGCCGATGTTGATTCGACATATTATAGAAGCTTGATTGGAAGTTTGAGATACTTGACATGCACGAGACCGGATATTATGTATAGTGTTGGAATTGTTAGTCGATACATGGAGAAGCCGAAATCATCTCATCTTAAAGCTGCAAAGAGAATACTTCGGTACATCAAAGGTACTATTTCTCATGGTTTACACTATTATTGCTCTTAATCTTTCAAACTTAGAGCTTATTCGGATAGTGATTATGGTGGAGATATCGACGATCGAAAAAGCACCACGGGATTTGTATTTTTCTTGTGCGACACTGCTTTCACGTGGTCATCAAAGAAGCAATCGAGTGTTACTCTGTCGACATGTGAAGCTGAATATGTAGCTGCATCTTCATGCGTTTGTCATGCAATATGGTTGAGAAGACTACTCAAAGATATTCTTATGGAGCAGAAGAAAGCAACGGAGATTTTTGTTGATAATGTTTCTGCTATTGCTTTGGCGAAAAATCCAATTTTTCATGAACGAAGTAAACATATCGATGTTCGATATCACTTCATTCGAGAACAGGTTAAGAGAATGAAGTTGAAATATTGCATGTGAAGACCGGAGATCAAGTAGCAGATATTTTACTAAACCTCTCAAGATCGATGCTTTTCGAAAGTTCAAAAGCCTGCTTGGAATGATCGATGGAAGAGAATTTGGTTTAGGGGGGAGTGTTAGAAATTAAACCAAATTTGTTAGTACTTGTTTCCTTTTTGAGTCTGTTCGTATTTTCATATTTTGATAGATATTGTGAGATATTGTTTCTAGTTATATTTTAGGAAAGTTTCCTAAGTCAATTAGATTTCCTAATTAGAATAGGTTTCCTAGAAAGAGGTTTCCTATTTCGAATCAAACTATGGTCTATATATAGTCTATTTCTCTTGTAATTGAGATATGCAATAGAAAGACGCGAATTGCGATTGTTTCACCTTCAAAAATTCCTTTCATCAAATCAATATTGTTGCCGCGCCTCTGACGCTCAACAGTCAGCAGATTGGAAAAATGTGATGCTTTGGATGGCTGACTTTTAAAATGCCAATTGTAGATTCAACTTAGAATGTTGATCGTGATTCAGTCTTTATCAAATCTTATGGGTTTGAAACTGGCTGGAATTCTTAACAGTTGAATTCAAGATTGCATTATGAAGAATTACTAAATCCCATTGCTTTTTGTTTGGAGCTTTTTCTGCCATCAAAATTTACCTTTCCGGAGGAAGTTGTTAGACCTTGGTCCTCATCAATGCAGCAATAAACCAAAGCCTGCGTGTCTTTCAAAGACTTTGATTGCACTTTTAAGCTATGGCGGGGTCCCGAAAGAATTTCTTTTGGACTTGCTGGAGAGTGCTCTGGGAGATGCAAATAGTGTCTTCTCTAGTAAACGAGCGGCTTTAAGGGGTAGTATTCTTCTGAACATTTGGACTGTTGAAATATTGTCTGTTCTTAAAATAGTCCAAAAAGAGATTTTTTCCGATTTGTTTTTCTTTTTCTTTTTCTTTACTTGGATTTGCTTCTTTTATTTTTCTTGACCCAAAATATGCATAAGTTTAAAAGGGCATCTCTGTTCATCTTTTCTGCTTTTACTTCCTGTGGGTGCACATTTCCTTCAATTGCTATTTGATGTGTAATCATTTTGCCTTTTGTTTTCCTTTTGTTCTTTTACTGTATGAGCAGTTTCGGTGAATCATGGTGAGAAGGATGGTTTCATCGCGGCCAGAATGATCTTATCTGGGATTCCTCCGGACGAAACATACCTACAGAATCATCTATCCGAACTGATGCAGGATGAAAAGAAGAGTTTGAAAGGAGGAAGGATCCCTATTCCAGATTCTTAGGGTGCGTATGGTAACGTTTCTATTTCTGGGAACAATTTCTTTTCAGAAATAGTTTTTTCTATTTCTATTTCCTAGAAGAGTTTCTGAGCAAAATAATGCGTTTGGTAACTGCACAAAATTTCTATTTCTAAAATAGAAATGTGTTTGGTAACTGCACAAAATTTCTATTCCTGGAATAAAAAAAGAACATAAATGCGTTTGGTAACTGCACAAAATTTCTATTCCCAATTTTTTGCATTCAAATCTATATCTTTTATTTAACTATAAGTACAAGTTATAAGTAAAAAAAATAAATAAGCATGATTTATTGATTTGTCTAATCCTTATTAGGGGGTTTAAAACCCCTTTTAATCCCTAAACTAAGGAATCTTCAAAAATACCGCTTGGGCACCTCAAAAATTTAAATTTCACTCAAAGTGGGTGGCCACAGGTATTCTAAGCCATTATGTGAATTTTTTTATATTTTTTTAGGGTAAAATTTATTAAAATTTTTTACTTTCCCTAAATCTGTTTCTTTTTATTTTTCCGAAAATTTTTTATGAAATTTTTTTAATTTTTTCAATTTCGGAATTTTGCAAATATTTAAGGGTTTTCTGAGTTTTCTGATTTTTATGGATTTTCTGAGAATTTTTCTGATTTATATGAATTTTGGGAATTTTTTAATTTTCTAATTTTATATGGGATTTTTCTGAAATTTTTCTAATTTTTATGAATTTTCGGACTTTTTTAATTTATTCTAAGCCATTATGTGAATTTTTTATTTTTGTTTTTTTGGGGAAAAGTTTATTAAAACTTTTTACTTTCCCGAAATTTGTTCCTTTTTATTTTCCAGAAAGCTTTTTATGAATTTTTATGATTTTTTTCAATTTCGGAATTTTGCAAATTTTTATGGGTTTTCTAAGTTTTTCTGATTTTTATGGATTTTCTGAGAATTTTTCTGATTTTTATGAATTTTTGGAATTTTTTAATTTTTTATAATTTAATTAATTTTTTATAATTTTTTTATTATTTCCGCCGAGAATGGACCGGACCGGTGCTTTGAGACGGTTTGCAGACGACGGAGGATGGAGGAGGAGCTGAGGTCGCGACTTGAGGACCGGACCTTTCTATTTCTATTTCTATTTCTAGGAACAAAGAAGTAGATTTTTTCTACTTCTTATTTCTGCTCCAAATCTATTTCTTGGCCACTTTTCTATTCCAGGAAATAGAAAAATAAAATGCGTTACCAAACAGATTTCTGTTCTAGGGAACAAAAAAACAGAAAAATAGAGAAACAGAAGCGTTACCAAATGCGCCCTTACTATCTTATGGGGACAGCCGATCCCACAGGAATTCTTAAAAGTGATGAAGTTTGTATTATTCTGTATGTACTCTTAATCTCATCTTTCTATGTGTGATTGTTATTTAGAATGAGTCCGCTAATGAAAACTCAAGATAAACAGTCATTTTGTAATATTAATTTCAGAGTGCGTCCCTTTGTTTGTAGTGGCTTGGTATGGTTATGGAATAACTTCTAACCATGCTGTAGGGTAAAATTCAAAATTTAGGTTTGCATATGATTTGGCTTATTTGACTAAGCTAATGTTGTACTTTTATCCAACTTTAAAGAATTTCAAAGAAATGATTTGAATTCTGTGAGGACGCCATGCAAGTGATTCGCCTTTTCAAAGATCATTAAAAAGTTGTATTTTCTATTTCGGAAATAGATCTCTTGGCAAAATTTTGTTAGTGATCATCCATATTTTGTGTTGAGAGGAAAAACTGAACTGAATGCTTGGTTAGGTCTATGTGACCCCAAGCTATCTATTTATAATAAAGCCAAAAAGGCCAAAATTACAATATTACCCTTATTGCTGCAATATATAAAATAATAAAGGAAATAGACAAATATGCCCCTATTAGCCAAGTATTCTCAACACTCCCCCTCAAGTTGGAGCATAGATATCACACATGCCCAACTTGACTAAAACAAGATGAAACGATTTACTCCCCAATCCTTTAGTCAACACATCAGCAAGTTGATCACCGGACTGAACAAAGGGCATACAAATTAAACCACTCTCCAACTTCTCTTTGATAAAGTGCCTGTCAATCTCCACATGTTTTGTACGGTCATGCTGTATAGGATTGTGAGCAATACTAATGGCGGCTTTATTATCACAATATAGCATCATAGGAATAGGAACAGATACATCAATATCTTCAAGTAATCCTTTAAGCCATAACAGTTCACAAACTCCATGTGCCATTGCACGAAATTCTGCTTCAGCACTAGATCGAGCAATCACATTCTGCTTTTTGCTACGCCAAGTCACAAGATTCCCTCCTAAGAAAGTACAATACCCAGAAATAGACTTTCGGTCAGGAGATCCGGCCCAATCAGCATCTGTATAGGCTTCAACTTTCAAGCCATCACGAGGAGATAAAAGAATCACTTTTCCGGAGCAGGACTTCAAATACCGAAGGATTCGAAGAACAAAGATCCATATGAGTAGAGTATGGATCATGCATAAACCGACTCACTAGGCTCACAAAGAAAGCAATATCGGGTCCGATTTGTGATAAATAAATCAACTTGCCCACTAACTGTTGATAACGACCCTTATCTACGGGATCACCATCCTTTTCTCGAAGACGAGTATTGACCTCAATAGGTGTATCAGAGGGACGACATCCTAATAACCCAACTTCTGTTAAAAGATCAAGGACATACTTCCTTTGGGATAGAAAGATACCTTTTGAAGATCTGGCAACTTCAATCCCAAGAAAGTATCGGAGCTTTCCAAGATCCTTTATTTCGAATTCTTGTCCAAGAAAATTCTTCAACCGGCTTATCTCATCAGTATCATTCCCTGTGACAATAATGTCGTCTACATAGACAATAAGAATAATGACTTTAGCACCTGATCTCTTCACAAACAAAGTATGATCAGCATTACTTTGTTTATACCTAACAAAGATCATAGCTTTCTGAAACCTACCAAACCAAGCTCGAGGTGATTGCTTTAAACCATAAAGTGCACGTTTCAGCTTACACACTTTACCTTGAGTTTTGTCGCAAGAAAAACCTGGAGGAATCTCCATATATACCTCATCTTCTAACTCTTCATGAAGAAAGGCATTCTTCACATCTAACTGCTGAAGATCCCATCCCTGGTTTACAGCACACGAAAGTAACACTCGAACAGTATTCAACTTGGCAACAGGAGCAAAGGTTTCTTGATAGTCAATCCCATAAGTCTGAGTAAATCCCTTCACCACCAACCGTGCTTTATATCTGTCCGCAGTACCATTCATCTTCTGTTTGACTACAAACACCCACTTACATCCTACCGGTTGTTTCCCAGGAGGAAGAATAACAAGATCCCACGTGTCATTTTTCTTCAAAGCATGCATTTCCTCCACTATTGCTGTCTTCCACTTCTCATCTGCAAAAGCTTCTTGCCAATTCCGTGGAATAGAAACAGAAGATAGAGAAGATACAAAAGTACGATAAGAGCTGGACAAAGAGTCATATGAAACAACATTGGATATAGGGTGTTGAGTACAAGTTATAATACCCTTTCGGAGTGCGATAGGAAGATCAGAAGGAGAAACCTCATCAGAAGGAGTAGTAGAATCCGGATCCGGAGATGATGACTGAATAGGCAATGTATCAGTGGTCTTAACCTGCATGTTGGTAGTGGAATTTTTACAACGATATGTCTTCAATGTTTCCCCACTATCAATCCGCCTTTGAAAGATACCCATACTTTGCTTAACAGGTGTGGTCTCCCCCTGAATCTCTGATATCTCCCCCTGAAGTATTGCATTAGTCTCTACTTGCATTGCATCGTTCTCCTCTTGAGAAGAAGAAGGAGAACGATCATAGACTATTGGTGGAGGAGGAGGAGGAGGAGGAGAAGGAGAAGAGTAAGTAATATCCTTAGGAACATCTAGAATTGGCAACACCTCTACACTAGGACACTCCCCCTGAAGAGGTGGAGTGGAATAATAAGAAGTAGACTCATGAAAAATCACATCCATAGATATAATACTGCGCCTAGAAGGAGGATGATAACACTTATAACCCTTTTGAGTAGCTAAATACCCAAGAAATATGCAGCGGAGACCGCGGGGTTCCAACTTACTCTTAGAGGTAGTGTTACGAGCATAACAAACACAACCAAAAATTTTTGGAGGAAGAATAAAAGTTGATGATCCCTGTAAAATATCAATAGGTGTGCGAAAATCAAGAATTCTAGTCGGCATCCGATTAATTAAATAGGCAGCAGTTAAAATGGCATCACTCCAATACTGAGAGGGGACATGACGTGCAAACATAAGAGACCTGGCGACCTCTAACAAATGTCGATTCTTTCTTTCGGCAACACCATTCTGTGCTGGGGTATCAACACAACTGGTCTGATGAATAATGCCATGATCAAAGAGATACCATTGAAACTGACCTTCAATGTACTCAATGCCATTGTCACTGCGAAGAATTTTCACAGTGGCGTTGAATTGAGTTTGAATTATTTTGTAAAAAATTTGAAAATAACGAAAAACGTCACTCTTATGCTTCAACAAATAAACCCAAGTTGCACGAGAATGACAATCGATAAAAGTAACAAACCATCGATGACCAGAAATAGAAGTACGTCGGGAAGGACCCCACACATCAGTATGAATCACATGAAAAGGGAAACGACTTTTATTATTTGAAGATGAATATGTAGAACGAGTTTGTTTAGCAAAGACACAAGCTTCACAAAAAAACTCATCTTTATTATAAGCTAAAACGAGACTTGGGAAAACTTTTTCTAAAGTTCCTAAAGGGGGATGACCTAATCTGCAGTGCCACTGATGGAGATCTGTCAATGCTGAATTAACTTGATGGGGCGTAGTAGACGACATAGAAGTAGAAACCCCACTACCCTCGAGCAAATAGAGACCACCATCCAATCTATCATATCCAATGTCCTTCTCCGTTACCAGATCCTGGAAAATACAGTAAGAAGGGAAAAAAGTTACTTTACAATTTAAGTCTCGAGTCGAACTACTAATAGAAAGGAGATTAGTAGAGAATGATGGAATATGTAAAACAGAAGACAAGGGAAGAGTGGAGAAACAATTGGTAGACCCTTTTCCAGCGATGGAAGAAAGGGTTCCATCAGCTACACGAACTTTGTCTCTACCGGAAGTAGGGGTCTATTGATGAAAGAGACTAGAAGAACCTGTCATATGATCTGTAGCCCCTGTATCAATGATCCATGGGCTGGAAACAACAGATGTATTAAACCCCCCAAAGAAGATACCTGAAGTGGCTAGATTTGAAGTAAAATGAGAAGACGAATTGGCAACTGTGGAGGAAGCAGCAGTAGTAGAAGCTTTCAGTAGACGTCGAAATGCCTGAAGTTATTCCTGGGATAAACCGATATCGATAGTAGGTGTAGCAGTAACAGTTTCAGTATGGTTTACTTTGTTTTTTGTCTTTCTCTGTGCTTTTTTTTCCTCAAAATCTGCAGGTTTTCCATGTAACTTCCAGCAGGTAGCCTTAGTATGATAAGGCCTATGACAATATTCACACTTCACAACTTCCTTAGGGGTATCATTAAATCGAGAGAACGAACCAGATTTAGCAATAGTGCCAGCACTAATTTGTAGAGCAGATCGATCAATAGTAGAGGACTGGAGCATTGCTGTCCTACGGCTTTCTTCTGAGTGAACTAGGGCATAGGACTGTTCCAGAGTGGGGAATGGAGACCAGCTAAGGACTTGAACACGCATCTGATCATATTCAACATTCAATCCTGCCAAGAAATCATAAACTCTGATCTTGTCCACATGGTTCTTGTAGGCAGCTATGTCTGTAGCATTAGTTGGTTGATAATCGGTATAATGATCTAGCTCTTGCCATAAACTCCGAAGCTTAGCATAATATTGAGATATAGTCATCTCTTTCTGAGAAGTATCATGAACCCTTTTTCGAAGTTCATACACCTGTGCATCATTCCCGATTTGACCATAAGTATCCCTAGCAGCTAACCAAATTTGCGCCGCAGAATCAAGAAGCAAATATCCTTTTGCAATATGTGGCTGCATCGAGTTAAGCAAAAAAGACATTACCAAAGAGTCATTCGAGATCCACTTGTCTTGAGTAGCACCCGATGTTTCCGGCTTTACAGAAGTGCCGTTGATATGACCTGTAAGCCCACGGCCTGCAATGGTCAAGAATACAGATCGAGACCATATCAAATAATTTGTGCCGTCGAGCTTCACAGAGATTGTAGCGAAAGTAATATAATCTGTATGGCCATCTCCTGTAGGTGGAGGGTTCTCAACTGAACCGTCAGACATTGTGTCACTGGTAGTAGGCTAAAA